CCTAGGGGGAAAGGTAGGGGGAGGGGAGAGGAGATGCGAAAGGCTCCGGATCCGCCAGTGGATGTCATTCTGTATCTGAAAGTGTGAATGCATTTTGCAAAACGTGCTTTGCTTAGGTTTGGAATTTCTGTTGAATGCCTGAGTTAGCGGCGCACTTAGAGAAGGATACGCCAGTAACTCGGATAATTTCTTGGACTGACCTATTTCGCGTTAAGTTGTTAAGAAAGCCGCCACGTGAATGGCAATCTGAAAATGTAAAGAAGCCAAATGTTTTTGAAGAAAGGGATAGTTACTGAAGATAGGGAGTTTAGCTCATGGGATGGAAACTGTGCTAAATCCAGGCATTAAACAAGTTTAATAATATTGATAATTAATAATATCGCTGGAAAGTATGAAACTTTAAATTAAGGTCCAGAAACTTTAAATTAAGGTCCGTTGTTAAAATCATGGAATTCAAGTGCATTGATGAACTGGCGAATAACGACTACCGTAGGAACGATTATCATTTCAACGAAACTTGCCTAATCACCATTTCAACAGGTACAGGAAGTTGTTATTAGTCTTTATTACTGCATAGCTAACACTGATAAAAGTTATCACTCCTTTGAAAAGCAAATTACAGACAGAGAATCGCATGATCCACGGATTTCAAATCCCCATTCAGCTGCGATTCTTCCAACTTTCCCCAGTTTTCTCAAGATTTTGCAGCTGTTGTATCTGGAGCAGGTGTGGAATGTGGCGATTCGGGAACGGGGCTTGTCACGCTGAAAACAGTAACTGTCAAGTTAGCAGCTGAGTCAGTCGAATCGGAGGCAGAACTAGTCAGGTTTGAAGCGGAAGCAGGGGTAGTCAGGCCGGAAGTGAGGTCAGTCAAGTTGGAAGCGGGGCCAGTTAAGTTGGAAATGGGCACTGGATCTGTAACGTTGGTCGGGCTTCCAACTCCTTCGTCAGCTGCAAATGGAAAATTAAGGCATTGTATTTCGGATAGTACAGTTAAACTTCATATGCACAATAGTAGAATATACGGGCTCTATGATGTAGCCACAGGGCCGTACTAGGACCTCATCCACCTTTCCTTTCCCACCCCTTTCTTTTCCCTCAGTCTGCTTGACTGTAACGTTTTCATGCTAAGTTCGGTCTTCCCGGGCCCTGTCTTTCAGGATAATTCAGCGACTTTTAACAGATGCGCGAATCTTGCATTCCCGAATTTGACACCACATCTCGTTAAGCTTAGTGCTGTTCAACTTTCAATTGAGCATAAAAGCCATGAAACAGGTTTCCTTCAATCCCCCTTTTTCGAAGCATGACAACACTTCAGTTATTTTACATAGGTTAGCCAATAAAAATTTGATATTGCGTTTTTGAACTCAAAATGTGCCTCATTATGAGTCTTTTTTAACTACTTGTAATGAGGATGGTTTCAAATCGTACCTTTTTTCAGTGGCTCATCCGCTGCGCTTCTTTTCTTTCTGGGGTACGCAGCTCCCGTATTGAACGGTGAAATCTGTCCACCTTGCGGAACTCCTTGCGAAAATAACGCGGGTTGCGGTACAATAACACCGGGTTGTGTGTATACAGGTTGGCCACCAGCGCTGACCCCTACAGGTGCCGCTGCTTGTGCTGGTGGTGTGTTGCTTGGACCACACGCAGTGCTAATTTTAGCAGCTACTGCGAGAAAAACAACAGTACTAAGCATTCTTCCAGTCCCACTTTTCACCTGAACTGCAGTACCATAATTCATATTCGTGCTTTTCTCCATTTTGAAATTAGAACAACATTTTTGACTCAAACTTTAAGTTATGACTTGAGGAACCAAAACATCTCCTAATTCCTCTCCCTCTCCTTATAGTTTCTAGTTTCTATCTCTTAAAGCATCCGACTCTTACCCGATTGCTATGAGCTAATTACAAGTCGGGATACGGTTAGTTTTGGAAACTGATTTCAGGTCATTCAAGCATAAAGTCACTTCTGCTACTTATCGTGCCCCAACTGTCGTCCAGCACAAAAGCGGAATGAGTATGTGCCTCTCCTCGTTCAGCACAAAAGAATTTTTCTGAATTTAATCCTCGAGTCTCACGTCAGGGTACAAC